AACATAAAGGTTGTGTCTAGACTGGCCAGTTTTTCCGGAAAATCAGCCGCTTGCCAGTTGTCTACACTGGCTGCTTGAATTTCCGCAAAAGCACTGACGTACTTACTGTAAGAAATCAGTGCTTCTTGCGGAAATACTATGCTGCTTCCGTTCAGGCAAAAGTCCCTTTTGCGCAAAAGGGCCAGTGTAGACAGCTGTGAGATTTGTTTTGCGCAAAACCCTGATTGTGAAAATGGCAATCGGGGCTTTTTTGCGCAAAAGCGCGTCTACATTGGCCACGGATGCTTTTCTGCAAAAAGTGCTTTCACGGAAAAGCATCCGTGCCAATCTAGACGCTCTTTTCCGAAAATGCTTTTAACGGAAAACTTTTCCATTAAAAGCATTTCTGGAAAATCATGCCAGTCTAGACGTAACCAAATAGATCTGGGATCTTTGGTCTTTGCTCGGGCAATATTTCTGTTGAGGGAACAGAGCTTTCTCTGTCCGAGAATCCTAGCACACTAGACCTGGAAGGGACCTCGAGAGGTCACTGAGTCCAGCCCCCTGCCCTCTCGGCAGGACCCAGTAATGTCTAGACCATCCCTGACAGGTGTCTGTCTACCCTGCTCTTAAGTATCTCCTGTGATGGAGATTCCACAACCTCCCTCGGCAACTTATTCCAGTGTTTCACCACCCTGACAGGTAGGAACTTTTTCCTAATGTCCAACCTAAACCTCCCTTGCTGCAGTTTAAGCCCCTTGCTTCTTGTTCTATCCTCAGAGGCCAAGGAGAACAATTTCCCCCCTCCTTCCTGTGACACTTTTAGATACTTGAAAACCGTATGTCCCCGCTCAGTCTTCTCTTTTCCAAACTAAACAAACCCAGTTCTTTCAGCCTTCCCTCCTAGCTCATGTTCTCTAGACCTTTCATCATTCTTGTTGCTCTTCTCTGAACCCTCTCCAATTTCTCCACATCTTCCTTGAAATGCGGTGCCCAGAACTGGACACAATACGCCAACGGAGGCCTACCCAGCGCAGAGTCGAGCGGAAGAATGACTTCTCGTGTCTTGCTCACAACACTCCTCTTAATGGATCCCAGAATCATGTTTGCTTTTTTGCAACAGCATCACACTGCTGACTCATATTCAACTTGTGGTCCACGAAGACCCCTAAATCCCTTTCTGCCGTACTCCTTCCTAGACAGTCGCTTCCCATTCTGTATGTGTGAAACGGATTGTTCATTCCTAAGTGGAGCACTTTGCATTTGTCCTTATTAAACTTCATCCTGTTCACCTCAGACCATTTCTCCAGTTTGTCCAGTTACCCACATTATAGTAAATCTATCTAGGTTGTATTTCCCTAGTTCACTGACAAACTCATGCGAGACCCTGTCAAATGACTTACTAAAGTCTCGATATCCCACGCCCACTGCTTCTCCCTTATCCATAAAACCTGTTATCCTATCACAGAAAGCTATCAGATTTGTTTGGCATGATTTGTTCTTTACAAATCCATGCTGGCTGTTATCTATCACCTTATTATTTTCCAGATATTTGCAGATTAATGCCTTAATTATCCATTTTCTTTCCTGGCACAGAAGTTAAACTGACTGGTCTCTAATTTCCTGGGTTGTTCTTATTTCCCTTTTTATAGATGGGCACTAGATTTGCCTTTTTCTAGTCTTCTGGAATCTGTCCCGTCTTCCATGACTTTACAAAGATGACAGCTAGAGGCTCAGATACCTCCTCTATCAGCTCCTTGAGTATTCTACGATGCATTTCACCAGGCCCTGAGGATTTGAAGACATCGAACTTTTCTAAGTAATTTTTAACTTGTTCCTTTATTTTAACTTCTCAACCGACTCCATTTCCACCAGCCTACGTTATGTTGGGCATCCCTGAATCATCACACTTCTTGGTTAAGACTGAACCAAAGAAGTCATTAAGGTGCCACAGGACTCCTCGTGGTTTTTGCAGAGACAGACTAATACTGCAACCCCTCCGAGACTTGAGAGGAGAGAGATCCAGCCATGAATCTAACCCTACTAGGGGGCAAAGTGCACTCCCGAAGTCTCCCTCACCTGCCTTCAGCTAAGGTCCCATAATGGCTCTCAGCACCTCTTGTTTGTTATAAAGCCAGTTTTTATGGTTCTTTGCCAGACCTTTAACCATGCTAGAGAGCACCATGATGGAAGTACCCCAAGGGCCTTCTCCCGTTGGCACTTAGAACTGCAGGCCGGTGGGTACAGAACATGGATGCGTGTGGTTATGTTCGTACATTGGGAGTAATTATCACCCAAGTGGCCTTCGAATTACACACAGGACGGCATGTGTGGCAGTTCTGTGATGGTAAGCCTTAATACCACTGGAGAGGGTCCAGAGAAATTGGAGAGGGTCCAGAGAAGAGCAACAAGAATGATTAAAGCTCTAGAGAACATGCCCTGTGAAGGAAGGCTGAAAGAACTGGGCTTGTTTAGTTTAGAAAAGAGAAGATTGAGGGGGGGCATGATAGCCGCTTTTAGGGATCTAAAAGGGGGTCATGAGGAGGAGGGAGAAAACTTGTTCATCTTGGCCTCTGAGGATAGAACAAGAAGCAATGGGCTTAAACTGCAGCAAGGGAGGTTTAGGTTGGACATTAGGAAACAGTTCCTACCTGTCAGGGTGGTCAAACACTGGAATAAATTGCCCAGGGAGGTTGTGGAATCTCCATCTCTGGAGATATTTAAGAGTAGGTTAGATAAATGTCTATCAGGGATGGTCTAGACAATATTTGGTCCTGCCATGAGGGCAGGGGACTGGACTCGATGACCTCTCGAGGTCCCTTCTAGTTCTAGTGTTCTATGATTCGATGAATACCTGTAGTAGGGAAATAATTCCCCACCTTCCCTCTTTGTCTTTCAGGGGGTAGAAAAGGGACATAATTTAGAAACCCACCTTCCACTGGCTTCCAATAGGCTTGATTTCCAAAGGGGCTGCTGCTCCTAAGTCACTCAGGTGTCTGGAAAATCCCATCCCCAGGGAGCTGAAGGCTTTCGGCCTTTGTTTGGCCCAGGAGGACTGAGGGCCAAAACGGAGCTGGGCCAAGCGTCTCAGAACCTCTTTTTGTAACGCTCCGGGGGTCGGCAGACAGCTGACAGAGCAGGGCTTCCAATAGGCTTGATTTCCAAAGGGGCTGCTGCTCCTAAGTCACTCAGGTGTCTGGAAAATCCCATCCCCAGGGAGCTGAAGGCTTTCGGCCTTTGTTTGGCCCAGGAGGACTGAGGGCCAAAACGGAGCTGGGCCAAGCGTCTCAGAACCTCTTTTTGTAACGCTCCGGGGGTCGGCAGACAGCTGACAGAGCAGCTGTCCTTCTCCACCCCCCTGGGGCCAGCTGTCACTGCTGTCCCAGGCCACCTTCCCATCACGCCAGAGACACCGGGCACGGCCCAGGGAGCTGATCAGCCTCGGGGGAAGGACCCTTCCCTGCAGGGCCGCTGACGTGCTCTCCTTGCGGAGAGGGGAGCTGATAGTGGCAGATCTACGAAGCAGCAGAATTCACTGCCCTGCCTCATAACTCTGATGCAGAGGCAGCCAGCATGCCGACCCCTTGCACCACATCTCTGCCCCAGCAGAATGGAGCCTGCTTCTACCCCGACAGGTCCCTGCTGTCCGGTAAGCAGTGGGGGCAGGATTTCCCCAGAACAGCAGAGGTAGATCTAACACAGGGTGTGTTGGGCCAGTTGGGAGCATCCATGGTCTAAACAGAAACTCAAGCCGCATTCACATTGAGTTCCACGGGCCAGATTCTCCCCTGAAATCTCACCCCTGGTTGTTCACACCCATTTTGCATGTAGTAACCACACCATGCTCTTACATCACACTGTGTTGTGGTAGCTCTTGCGCTACAAAGGAGGTCACTATAATTATCACCTGTGGGGAAACTGAGGCACGGAGAGGGGCAGTGACTTGCCCAAGGTCACCCAGGAGGCCTGGGGCAGAGCTGGAGATAGACCCCAGATTTCCTGTGCCTATAAAAAAATCAAATTAGTTTGATGGGCTCTGTGTTCCAGAAACCCATGCTGATTGGTATTAACTATATTTTCCTTTATTCTCTATTAATCAATCCATTATCAGCTGCTCCACTATGTCATCCAATGTCACACTGACAAGCACATTTGCTTTCTTTCAGTTTTCTGTAACTTCCCTGATGTTGCTGTTAATCAACATTAGTAATCCAGTGCGTGCCTGAGACGGCTCTTTTAAAACTCTTGGATGCATTTCTATAGACCTGCTGATTTAGAAATGTTCAACTTCAGCAGCTGATGCTTAACATCTTCCAGTGGTACTCATGGAATGGAAAGACTGTAATCATCAATATATGGTATGGCTTTTTTCCATATCCAAGTAACACAAGGCTGCCAATCAGAAACCACGGTCCCACTATGCTTGGCACTCTCCTGTTAACATAAAAACAGCCTGCACCTCAGAGCGCTGACAGTCTAAGATGCCTACAGACAACCCCCTAACCTGCAGCAAATTCTTTCCAGCAGCCACACATCACACACTCACCCAGGAACGCGCCCCTGCAATAAACCCCATTCCCCGCTCTGCACACACAGCTACGCAAGCAACACCATCAAAGGCCCTAACCACATACGCCACAACATCAGGGCTCATACAGCTGCACATCGCAATTGCAAATGAAGCGGGGATTTAAATCCCCC